GTGTGTGTGTGTGTGTGTGTGTGTGTGTGTGTGTAGCGTGTCGAAGCAGCACGCTGTGATCCCCAGTCAGGTGTTTGAGCTGGAGGACGGCTCCAGCAGCTATAAGGACTTCGCTATGACGCGTAACAACCGCTTCACCAGCGCCGGCCAGGCGTCCAAGAACATCATCCAGCCGCCCTCCTGTGTGCTGCACTTCTACAACGTGCCGCCCTGCATCAGCGAGGACGACCTGCAGCGGGTGAGACGCTCGCAAAACGCCTGAAACACATCTCTTACATCTTTATTTGACCCTGCTATTATAGTGATAACACTTCACAATAGGCTTTCACTAGCTAGCACAAACTAACAATGAGAAATACTTAGTTACTCTCAGCATTTACTACTACATTATTAAAATCAAAAGCTGTATCTGTTAAGTTTAGTTAAGGCAGTGTGAACTAACATCAACATGAACATTTTTATTAACTAAGTTTAATAAATGTTGTACAAATATATTGCTCATTATTAATACGTGTTAGTTAATGCATTAATTAATGAGACAACAAATAAGAACTTACTGTAAAGTGTTACAATTATAGTTTCTATTAATATTTTGAATTAGTTTCTATTTTCTTTTTTTGGAAATAGGTCAAATCAAGCAGGCAGGGTTATTAAAGTTAAAATTAAAAATAAAAACCATACAAAACATTTCTGTTACTTAAAATGAAATAAATGTTAACTGAAACATTGAGATACTATTAATAGGATTAGTTTTTATTTTCTGTTTTCATTTTAATTTTAAAGTGATTTTGTTGTGTGTTTTGTCATTTTTATTAGTTGTTTAAAAAATCTATTTTCTTTTTTTGGAAATAGGTCAAATCAAGCAGGCAGGGTTATTAAAGTTAAAATTAAAAATAAAAACCATACAAAACATTTCTGTTACTTAAAATGAAATAAATGTTAACTGAAACATTGAGATACTATTAATAGGATTAGTTTTTATTTTTACATTTTCTGTTTTCATTTTAATTTTAAAGTGATTTTGTTGTGTGTTTTGTCATTTTTATTAGTTGTTTAAAAAAATATTATTTTTATTATTATACAGTAGTTACGAATAGTTCATATAAATACTTAAATAGTTTTTATTAATTTTTTATAGTTTTAGTTATTTTAGTACATCAAGTTAAACTAAATAAAAATAAGAAATGTTACCTTGGCAACTAGCTGAAACAATTGTTTACATATTTATTTTATTTTATTTCAATTGATGTCAAGTTTATTTCAAGTAATGAAAATGTTTTATGGTTTTATTTTAGTGAACTATATAATAACCCCGTCTGTGTGTCGTGAGCTTCAGTAATTGCTGCTAAAATTGTTCTGTCTTCACTTTTGTGAATTTTACGAATTTCTACAATAACTATTAATATTTTATATTATTGAATCTCATTATCCGAAAGGTTCAGGTCACCCAATTTGCTAAATTTGCAAACAAATTTGTCCCCAGAAGTCAGTTAAATCTGACAAAACCTCAGTTTAAGGACATCCTCTTTTGAAAAAAAAAAAAAAGGTAAAAAAATAAAGTAAATAAAGCTT